CCTTCCCTTGTTTGAGTTGTGAGCCGCCCTGAGTCCCTTCAGGGAAAAGGGCAGCATACAAATGAAATAAAACTCTAAACTCTAACTCTTTTGTGAAATACATAATTTAAATTACATGTAGCTATGAGTAGTAGTGTAGTTATGGGTACCTGTTAGTATTTTTCAATTCATGCTATTATTTAACTTTTGAAAAACAATAACACCAAATGTTTAACTTGTGAAATACACTCTTCCAAATCAAATTAAACATTGACTATAAAACATCATTATGTTTTTTACTTCTATTTTATTTTACAGAAATATTTTCTTTTTATTAACTTTGTGCTTAACTAAACCAAAGTAGCAAAACAGCTACCCCTTGTGACAGTAAGCATGAATTTACTGTGCAATGGTTTTTTTAAAAAAAAACTTTTAATAAAGAAAATATCGTAAATAAATACAAAAAAATACTATTTAGGTATTTCAATATCTGCAAAAATAAACATGTGGGGGTTATACATATATGAGTTTCTAACAGAATGAGTTCAAAATTCAACTATTGATTAAAGCGCCTATAATTCTTTGCTGATATTTAGTGATCTTCTGGAATAATTGCCCCACCAGAGACAGTAAAGTTTAAAAATAAATGAATGAAGGAGGGCATGTATGCCCACCACAACTTTTGATTTTTTTCCTCCCCAACCACTTAATCCTATCTTTGTTTTGGAACAGTGAGTGGAAGGAAAGAGCTGGAAGCAGCACTTCAACTTGCCACCCTACTGCCTTTTCCAAATGGGGAAATTACACTGTTTTTTAAATGTCTTTATTCATTTTCCTCTTCGCCTTGGTCTGGTTCTGCTGGATATCCAGTCCGTTTTATAAGCCAATTGTTCTTTTGCTGGCTTTTTCTCCATACCAAGTTCAAACACATCCAGTTCTATTTTCTGCTGGTTTTCCTGCCCCCAGAGAAATGGGGTAGAATTCTTTGCTGTTTTACACAATTTCTTTGTCCAACATTCTTGTGGAGTGAACAAATAAGTGTTTAATCCAATGAATGTTGTGCAGGTGACACTGAAAAACTGATTAAGGTGTCTTAAAAGCAGGCCCTATTTAATGCAGTGTTTCTCAATCTTGCCCGCTTGAAAATGTAAGGAGATGCTGGCTGAGGAATCCTGAGAATTAAAGTCCCCACATCTTCAAGTGGCCAAAGTAGAGAAACACTAGTCTAATAAACGAAAGTGGTGCTCATAGGACTCCCTCGGCAGCGAACATAGTAAGAAGCAGTAAGAATATTCAACAGTAATGTTTTGTTGCCCTTCATTTTAGAGCAGGGGTCTTCAACCTTGGCAAGTTTAAGACTGGCGGACTTCACCTCCCAAAATTCCCCAGCAAGTAATGCTGGGAAAGAAGAAGCTTCTTTAGCTCTGACTAGATAGTGGGGAATGGAAGGATTTATGTTCCTTGTAGAAAGTTGGTCATTTGCATCCTTTTAGAGGGTCTTTGAAGCACTTGGAGATTTATCTGTGTCCTCAGGTCACCTGAGTAGTGCTCCTGGTTCCTGTAGTCTGCAATATTTTTATCTGGAAATCTATTCCTACTTCCACACCATTCAAAGGGTTTTCATCCTAAATTGGATAGCCAAGTCTATAGAGATTCTCAGTCATCCAAGTCATGGTTGTCCCAAAGGTGCTTTTTCAGGGGGCAACTGGACTTTGTTTTGTTTTTTCCCTTTAAAAAGTTTCGCTTCTGATTCAAGAAGCTTCTTCAGACCCCTGCTTTAGAGACCGTTCCTTAGGGCGCCTCAAGAGCTTGAGCGGGGCAAGCACCTTGCGCGCCGTTTCGCTTTCACTTTTCCTTGTCAAGCAAAGCCCAGGCAGCAAAGGAGCAGCGGCGGCGGTGGGGGCGAAGGCAGCTGGCTTTCTTCGAGCAGGTAAAAAAGGGAGTCCCTATTAAAGGCTTATCTTAAGGCAGACGGAACGTAGGCAGGAGAGGGAAATAACATTCGTGGAAAGGAGAAAAGGCGTCAGTTGGGAAGCCGAGGCCTAATTTCCCTCCCTTGAACTATCGCGTTTCAATATTGAAAGTCACGACTCCATTACGCATGCTCACTTTTGGTGAGCGAAGCACCAACGCTCTACAAAATTGCTCTCGATGCGGAGGTTTTTCGCTCCCTTTCAGCTGTGCTGAACTGACCCCTGAGTCTGAGGGCTTAGGTCAGATAGTCCCCAATTTGCGAAGCTTTCCCCGGCCGCTGTGCGTCGTCTTTAACCGATACGATTCCGGTACGGTACAGGAACCGACGAGAAACCGGCAGTGGCTTCTGGTTGTTCTACGTCGACTTTTGCTACGGCGCTTCCCTTCCCCCCAACACCCCTCCCCCCCACACACTAACTATTTTCGTAGCACACTCAACTACCAGGTAGCAAACCGCACTTTAGCGTGCAAGTATCGTATGGTGTGATCCCGAGCAGCGTAATTCATTCTTCGCGGGAAGCTTAGAAAATTGAATCTATGCATTATATCGTGCAAACTCAGTCTATTTGGATCTGGGGAGTCCCTACCTTTGGCTCACAGATAAACTTGCAAGAAGATATGAAGGAAAGGAATGAACGGCGTTACTTTCGATCATGTTTAAAGTTCAGTTGGAAATCAGGAAGATGAAATCAGACTATTGACTTAAAAACAGATAGTTTAGGGGATTCGCTGGCAAGAGAGGACTTCACACCAAAACTGTGGTGTTATTTTGAAGGAAAGATGATTAAATGGATTAAAAAGAAATTGGTAGTTTTTGTACTCAGAAGGTACAGGATATCTTGAGCCAGGACGTTTTAGATCCTTTTTAGTACTATCTGCTGTTTCTAAGTGGATTAGACTAAATGACCTGCAAAGTTCAACCCTGTTAATCTGTTAAGTAGAGTATAACCTCTTTCTTCATAAATTGAAACAATGGGAGATGAATGGTCCCAACTGCCAGATGGATTTGGTTGAACTGTAGCCACCATCTGGTCATTCATGGGTTTATATCCACATGGAGAAGCATGCAGTGGAGTATCAGTGGCCCAGTACTCTTCAGAATTGCTATAAACAACACTGTAAATCTGTGTAAAATCCTGCCTCTAGCAAGATATTTTGGATCCTATCTGGTGAGGTGAGGAGTTCCATTTGACAGGACCTAGATCAGTGATGGTGAACCTTTTTTGGCTCACGTGCCATAAGTAGGGGGAGCACAGGGGGATTGTGTGTGGGCATGCTGCACCCATAATGCAATGCGCGACCCCCCAGTGCACATGCGCGCACTACAGGCGCAACCCCCCCATTTTTGCATGCTTTTTTCACCTTCCCCAGGCTCCAGAGGCTTTATAGAAGCCTGGGGAGGGGGAAAACAGCCTCCCCCCCCCTGGTAGCTCTCCGGATGCTTCAAGGACCTTCAGGAGGCTTCCGTGAAGCCTCAAAAGCAGTCAAAACAACCCTCTGAGCAAACCAGAAGTCATTTCCGGTTTGCTCAGAGGGTCGTTTTGAGCGCTCCAAAGACTTCAGGGACCTTCAGGAGGTTTTCCTGAAGCCTTGGGAGCAGTCAAAATGACCTTCTGAGCAAACGGGAAGTCCGTTCCTGAACTTCCGGTTTGCCCGTAGGGCCGGTTTTTTGCACTCTGGAGGCTTCAGGGAAGCTCATGAAGTCTCTGGAGGGGCAGGGGAGGCTCTTTTCACCCTCCCCAGGCTCCTACAAAGCCTCTGGAGCCTGGGGAGGGCGAAAAATGACTTTAAAAAAAGGGTAAACTCAGCTGGCCAGCAGGTGCGCTGGCCAGCTGACAGGGCAGCACCTCGCATGCCCTGACATGGCTCTGCGTGCCACCTGTGGCACAAGTGCCATAGGTTCGCCATTACTGACCTAGATGATGTAACTTTTTCTATAACCCTTATAGCAGTGTTTTTCAACCTTTTTTGTGCAAAGGCACACTTTTTTCATGAAAAAAATCACGAGGCACACCACCATTAGAAAATGTTAAAAAA